TTACATTTTCATAAAATAATTCCTTGGCTCTTTTAATCATATTGTTTACTCTGTTTCTCATGTACTTATAATTATTTTTATTACGCTCAGTACTATTATTAAACATTATTCTTTTAAGTCTATCCCTTTTTCTGATATTGCGTCTTAGCAGACCATTCATCCAGGGCTTGTCACCATCACGCACTAATACTTCTCTCGAGGGTATACACGTATTTACAGCATTTAAGAATTTCTCGGTGAAATAATTACACATTTCGTTAACGTTTAACATATGGGTGAAATTTTCTAGCCACGGAATACTATTGATCATATTTTTAAGTTCGTCCACATTGGATTGATTGTACAGCCATACTTTTCTTCTGAAGTTGTGTTTAATTGTTACAGGAATATTAATGACGACGAAAGCAGCATCATGGTCACTAATTGCTCGCTCAATTTCGATCACATCAGAGAAAACTACATCTACAGTATCACTAACAATAATGGGGTCAAGGAGTGTAGAAGAAGTATCAGTACGTCTGGTTGGTTCGGTAATAACATTTGTTAGATTATATTGGGAAAGAATATTACTTAGATCAACTCTATCATTTTTCAAAAAATCGATATTTAAATCACCTGTAATTATTACGTTTGGTGTTTCTTCGAGTGCTATATCAACTGAATGTCGAAGATGCTGCCATAAGACATTGGCGTTGGATGAGGGAGGTCTGTAAATATTACATATTAAATAAAGAAAATTTTGGAGTTTGACTTGTGACCATATCATTTCAGAGTTTCCAAATTCAAGATCAGTTCTACGCTTGGCGATAAGGGATTCAGAAAAATACATGGCAACTCCACCACCAAACATATTCCTATCTTTCCGGAATGGTTCAGAGAAACCATCAATTATGATGTCGGAGTTTGGTACAGAGTTGTCGAGATGTGTTTCAGTAATGGCTAAAATATCAACATCGTCTACTAGTGAGGACATATAATTTAATTTGTTACGTAAGCTACGAATGTTTAGGTGTAATATACTAAGAGCACTGATAGATGAACTACTATTAGAACTAGGTCCGGGGTTTGGATGAATATCGCCCGCTATCAATAAAACAATTAAAGCTGAATTATAAGGATTGTGGATGCAATGGGACAACTGCAAAAGCAAAAGATAGATCCGATGGAGGCAATTTAGATTGGAGAGCAATGCTAGAAATAAAAATAAACAATTTTTAACTTTAAGAACAAAGGTGATTGAAATACACGATAATTTACTATAAAAACAACCTATGGCAGCCCTCCATGCACACACGTCGTTACCTGTCATGGAGGTTGGAAGTTGACAAAAAATAGAAATAGGTGGAGGACTACCAACGAAAAAAGGGGTGCACAGACATATCCTAAGGTTGGGGAGGAATCGAGAAAAGAGAATAACTGTGGAGAGGGAGGATGACAATGCGCCATTGGAAAGATGAAGCTATAGTATAGTAGACAGCAAAGGGAAGGTATAACAATGAAACAGATAAGTATCATGTCGAATACCGAGGAATGAGGGGTAGGTATTGGGTATATTAACGTATGTAAAGACATATAACAAAATTGTATGTTTATATACTGGATATCCGTAAGGAATAGTTGGTAATACTAAAGGCAAAACTATATACATGGGTTACATTAGAAAAACGCATATGCGCAAAGTATATATCCATCCGATGAATATCACACATGTATAAATATAAGTTCGTATTAATAATACCACACTATAAACAATTGATTTTTTTAACATGTGAGGAATGTACGCAAAATGAACACAGATGGTAAGTATATATACAGTATAATGTATGGATTCGTAAGCGCACATGAACGAAAAAATAACTCCATAGCCATGATTCAAAAGGGAAAAAAAAAAAAAAAAAAAAAAAATTTTTTTTTTTAATCATGTGAGGAATGTACGCTGAATGAACACAGATGGTATGTATATATTCAGTATGAATATAGTATAATGTATGCATTCGTAAGCGCACATGTACAAAAATGTAATAACTCCATATTCATGATTCAAAAAAAGCATTTGGATTTTTCTTATCGTGTGATAAATGTATGCAGAATGAAGACAGATGGTATTTATATATTCAGTATATGTATAGTATATTGTATGCGCTCGTAAGCGCTCATGTACAAAAATATCACTCCGTATTCATGATTAAAAAAAAAAAAAAAAAAAAAAAAACTTTTTTGATTATTTTTAACATGTGAGTAAAGTACGCCGAATGAACACAGATGGTAAGTATATATTTAGTATATATTTGTATTACGTATGCATTCGTAAGCGCACTTGTACAAAAGTGTAATAACTCAAAAAAAAAAAAAAAAAAACAGAAGCATGAGAGTAATGTACGCATATAAAGTTAAACTTGTCACCAGAAGACCAAGTTTGGTACTTGTAAATACAAATAGATATATACGCATAATGGCATAATGGGCATTAATTGCATGAATATATTCAGTATAGGTATGTGTACTCGTTTTTCCTTTCAATTTTTTCAAAGTGATGTATAATCAAGGTTAGCCTTATTTCCAGAAGACATTGTTACTTATTAACACAATAGAATGTCCACATGATGATAGACACGTGATGTCAGGTACAATGTACTTGTATATGAATTGGCTCAACTAGAGGAAGTCAAGTGAGATATATCCTCGTACTGCTTCACTAGGATTTTCGCGGAATTGTATGTAGCCCTGTAGAATACTCGACCGTCGTTCGTCCAAAATGAGTGGATTTTCTTCTCTCTTTTGGCTTTTGACAAACCCGCGATGATCTTTTGTCGGAATGATGTCAGGTCTTCAGTTATAAAAACACGAAACTGGTCGGATTGGAGATTCTTTAATTTGAGACGCGACTGGTATATACTGTTCTTGATTTTCCAGTTGCGCAATCTACATATGATTTGAGACTTTCCATTACGTATGTCACCAATCACGTGAGATCTGTTGATGTCATCGGTAGAGATATTTACATCAATACGTTTACAAATCTCAACGACCTTCGCATCGGTGGTTTGTTTTTCATTTTCCCGTAAGGGTACGCCATGAAACCGGAGGCTGGTACGGCGCCCATACTGCTCAAGATCCTCTAAAGAGGACTCCAGATGCTTAACTGTGGTTTCCAACTGCTGAACTTTGTTTGTAAGTTGGCGATTACATTGGGTCACCGTATTCAGTTGATCAGTTAGAGTTTTGATTTGTTCAGTATAAGGGGCCATGGCAGAAGAAATTTGTTGGCTGATAGCTGGTCCAAGAGCAGTAGCCAGGCTCGGGACGAGCGCGCTTATAAATGTAGGTGACGTGACCGAGGCATGTATAAGTTCAGTTAGGTTGATAGGATCACTCTCATTAGTAATTGTAGAGGTCATGCTGGGCAAATCGGGTAGGGACGATCTCCTACGACTCGACACTGGGGCACCTGCTACTAATGAGTCGGGGCTTACACTTTCCTCAATTTTGCGTTTGGAAATTGTAGATGGCGTTGAAAATTTGCCGGCCATACGATACTAAATGGTATACACTAGGCATGCAGTATAGGCGTGTATAGGAATGTACGTGTTCCACAGGTAACACAGTTCACGTGTACAACCAGGGAGGTTGAACAGTGTAAATCACTATTACGCAGAAATACACGTATTATAGTTGAAAAAGTTCATCAAGCACAACAATGACAATGCTTATGGACAACTGTTGGTAGATTTCATGTCAATACTCTGCTTAAATATTACAATAATACCCCACCTCACCTGGGAGCTCTTTCAAGTATGTGTGTCCATTACACCTCGTTAATATTTGTAAATAACAGATAATATTTTGACTCATCAAAATCAAGCATTTAAGAAAATAACGTCAAGTTGTAACTAAAACTCCTTAGTTGGGGTCTAAACGTTAAGCAAGCAGGTTCCTATGCCTGGCATTCTCACTCTGAAAAAAAACTTTACCCCAACTAAATTAGAATATAACAAAATAGTATTACAGTATTTCATATTACTTAAAGATCGTTTGTAATTCAATCTAGTAAAACTCGCACCTGACTGGCGAAAACTGAAGATGGTTGTGTGACTTTTATACATGGAGTTATCTTTCTTGAAGCTGGTTGCTGACTCTGTAAACTCCAGTTTCTGGCTTTGACATAAATTGGTATTACATTTTACAACGTCTTATCAACAGTTTTATTGCATAATGCCCCCCCCCCCATACCAAGTAAATACATGTTGAGTGTGTGAACTTTCAGGACGACGTGGTATGTGTTCTTGTCTGCGTCCTGCTGGTTGCTTTCGGCTGTATACGTCAATGTTAAGACACTTTAAACACAGACAACCGGTTCGCACTATTACCGTGTACCTTCCTTTCTACAAAAGGAAATTATGCATTCGGTAAAAGCCGAAATTACATACAGATGAATTTAATTAAATGAATTCAATACATAAGTACATCACATTGACGTATTTCAAATTTTACAAGCCGTTTCACAATGTCATTTCAAGATTAGATGTATATTAGATAAAATTGGAGTGTAAATATTGCGAGCTGTTGACTGTCTGTTACATCCCACGAGATAAATAACACATGAGTTACTATGTCTGTCTATTTGTCTGTCTGTCTGTCTATCTGTCTGTACCTACAATAGGAGGATTTGTGTGTTAAAATACCGCAGTTTCCTTGTGTTAAAATCGGGTTTATCTATCTGTGTCACCCAGACGAGGAGACAGAAAAATTGCGGTTTTTAAAATGACTCAATGTCAGCATTTTTATGCTGGTATTGATTTTCATATCTTTACTGATTATGTTCAATTTATAAACAGAACGGAGGTGTTCAGAAAAATGGTAGAAACGCATTTATGAAAAGCATCTATCATAGATGCGATGAATCAAACAACGTTCCCGCTTAATCAGACTTAATAGTTTTCTACATTGGAGCCATTCCAGTGTGGTTTTTGTCTCTCCTCGCTTCTACCTAGAAAATACCAATGCGGCGCCATAATTACAGCGTGGTACCGCCCGGTATAGCCCACCGAGGCGGTACTGGTCTTTGTCGGGTAGAACTGGGCGAACCTGGCGGTACCAGGCTGTAATTATTTCAACTGGGTTAATAACTGGGTTAATAAACATTATCCATGGAGATTGCGTTTATAATTCCAATGTTCTCTTTTTAAAATGAACATAATCGTTAAAAATGTAAATATCAGTAACGGGATAATGAATATAAATATTGACATTTCTGAGACAGAAAAATTTCGCTCCATCAGACGTAAGAGGAAGTGATGTAATTAAAACATCCGTAGGAGATGTACGATAACATATTATCATCATTTTAACAATAACGCAGCTGTAAACACGGGGAGGAAACATATAAACGATTTCTCATTAATATAACGAGAACAATCACAACACTGCCTACTGTTTCCTTTGATGCATTTCCGTTCGTCACATACTCAACGATATGGTACGAGGGAGACTACATATAACACAGCTGAATAAATATCGTCACCATACAGTTTTGTCGCATTATTTGTGTTGGGCTTCATTTTCCTGCAACCGCCCGGGTCCCTAGAGGAACGTTGTCCACTGTCGATTGTGCGACTGACGGACGCTGTGATACTGTTAACAAAACCCGTAGATTGTATCATGCAACCTACCTCTGTTTCAACTGATATTATTGCAATAACATCGCTTAATGTAAGAATTATTACATTAAGCGTTGTAAATGATACGCTTATTGTAATAAATATGTTTTTGTAACACCAATCGCAGCGTGCAATGTACAATAAATAATTCAATTTATTGGGTTCCAATATACGGATAATAACCTGTCCTTGTGTATCTCAGTCAACGCTGAGCGACAATCAGGAAACAAGAAGTCATATGACCAAGCGTCGTGTGAATTCACTCGAATAGTGGCACGATAAATGGTTAAAATAAACACATGCATTTGGAATTATTTTGAAATTAACAGAAATGAAAATTACTAAATTGATGAATTACATTTTTATTGTATGGGGCTTGTGCACCTCCCCACCAAGGGTTTTATTTTCTCTTTCGAGCATTTTGGACTTTCCTTATTCGTGTCTTTACATTCTCCGTAAGCGTCGCTGACGAGACAAATTTGGATTTGTAAGAAACTTAAGGGCAAAGAAAATGTGCATATACATATAAAGGATAATCTATTCAAAATAGTAATTTTTTTATGAGATATTTTGATTTCAGGAGGAGTCATTAAGAGGGTACAATGTAACGCCCTTCCTGCCATCTGTCCTCAGTGGTGTATAGGTGTGTCCGGCGGCTGTACGGTGTGTGACTGCTCAAACTACGGACCCAACGGAATTGTAAATTCAACATCTGGACTAAGTGTGGTCAGCGGAGGTTCTGGGATGTCAATGGTGAATCCAGGTAGTATGATAGGGTTTGGGACAGGATTTAATTCTGGAAACTCTCAGTCTTCATCAGCTGTAGGGGTATTTAATTCAAATCTTCCTGGTTTCAACCCTGCAAATTCTGGGCAGGCTAACCCTTTTATGACCCTGAGTGGAGGTTTAGATCCCAGTAATCCGTATGGATTCGGTAATCCGGCGAACCTTGGAATGGCAGCAGGTGCAGGAAGACCGTCCAACCCAGGAGGCAGCACTTCTATTGCGGGAAATCCTATGCCGAATGGAAATTTGGCGGGAAACTCCCAAGGTATATAACCATTAACTTGTATGCCCGTTGTACAATCTTTGAGATTGCAGGTGGTAGACGATGTTACAGAATCGGACTGAGCTAAAATGAACTTATTGTTAATTTAATCATTCGATGTGTTAGTTTCATTTTGTGACGGGAAAAAGTCGCGAAACCTTATCCTATCCTATTATTGTTTATGGAGTACAGTATTCCCGAGTTATTCCTTAGATTTGATATATCAAAGACTCTGGTGGTAGACTGTTAATCCTGGCCGTTTACCTTAATCTGTATGTCACTTTGTAATGATTTCCAATATGTGGTACGGTTTATACATAAAACATAGGCACATAGCATAACAGACGAGTAATTAAAGGTTGGACCAGTTATATAATGCAGATTGATCAATATTTAAGCTGTAATCCAAGTTCTTTGTACGAAATAGTGTTGTTTCCTTGTATGTGTTTTCTACATTCTTTATATCGTGATGCTATAAATGTCGGCTTCTCTGCGTTGCATTTTAAAAAAAAAATGAATGATGTCAGAAGCTGATGGAAATCTATTTTGTAAGATAGGGTTTATCTTTCAAGGTGTACTACAACAGACAGGCCAAAGTGGTTCAGGGAATTTACAAGGTAAATCTGTAGTCTTAACAGTAAAACTTTTGTCATTCCGTAAGATACATCGAAGAAACTATTTATTTTGTTGCAAGCAACATTGAAAACCATTTAAAAAATACTGCCATTATACCAAGTTACAATGTCACAGAACGGAACCGGAAATACACATCGTAACATTATAAAACAGGAAAGTGTTAACAGTAAAGAAGATTATTGATGTTTGTAGAAATAGTCCTCGTTTTCATTTTAATGAACTGCATTATTTCATAAGTTATGATTTAATATGTAGGCACAATGTCACAGACTGGACCTGGGTCAGGAAATGGTCAGTCAGTCCAAGGCACAATGTCACAGACTGGACCTGGGTCAGGAAATGGTCAGTCAGTCCAAGGCACAATGTCACAGACTGGACCTGGGTCAGGAAATGGTCAGTCAGTCCAAGGCACAATGTCACAGACTGGACCTGGGTCAGGAAATGGTCAGTCAGTCCAAGGCACAATGTCACAGACTGGACCTGGGTCAGGAAATGGTCAGCCAGTCCAAGGTACAATGTCACAGACTGGACCTGGGTCAGGAAATGGTCAGCCAGTCCAAGGTACAATGTCACAGACTGGACCTGGGTCAGGAGGTGGTCAGTCAGTCCAAGGTACAATAATACAGATTGGACCTGGGTCAGGAAATGGTCAGCCAATCCAAGGTTCAATACCACAGACTGGACCTGGGTCAGGAAATGGTCTGCCAGTCCAAGGTACAATGCCACAGACTGGACCTGGGTCAGGAGGTGGTCAGTCAGTCCAAGGTACAATAATACAGACTGGATCTTGGTCAGGAAATGGTCAGCCAATCCAAGGTTCAATACCACAGACTGGACCTGGGTCAGGAAATGGTCTGCCAGTCCAAGGTACAATGCCACAGACTGGACCTGGGTCAGGAAATGGTCAAGTTATTCAAATCGCAGCGACTACACATAAGAGCCAGACAGCAAAACACTGTAAGTTTCCTTTTACTAAACCAATGCCTAGAAAAGACAAACACAGATCTATAAGATACGATTGTACATTTGTGGGATCGCAGAACTTCACATGTATCTACACAATCTTCTGCACTGTAGGAAAACTGGACGTAATAAGCTATCGGGCATCTATGCGCACGTGCGATTCTATCGTCCTTGGTATCAATTTAGAAATGATTTATAGATAATAGAGGTATAGGGTTTACTTATTTTCAAGGCTTTGTCAATTTTTCAAATATGTAAGAGTGCAACTAAGTATTAGCGCATAAATACATAGATTGGACAAGTAGATTAATCAAGTACAAAATCAATAGATATATACATATGTAATTAAAGTGTTTTGTTTGCTACGTGCCACGAGTGACCAGCCTTAGTGTACAGAAGTATCTTTTCGTCTCGGCAATGGATCATCTAAGTCTCATACCGTTACAAAGGCAATTATATTTTCTATAAACTTCAGAATTACTCCAATTTCGTTATCATTTTCTAAACAGACAAAATATGTACAGGTAGTTTTTGTAGCCCGTAGATAAATTGATGCTGGGTCTAGTGTTGTTTCATAAACAGCCGTACAAAAATGACTTTTATAATCACCGATTAATTTTAAATACGCAAGTGATCGTTGTTTAGTCACAAATACCCAAGCTTTCCGTTTGATATCTAATTGTCAATCTCTAATATTAGACAACCTCTTTATACCAAATCGCACAGTTATGTGCTAAATACTGTACAGTGCGTTTGTATGAAGGATATGCGCACTTTGTGTTTCGGTACGTTATGTTACCACAACTGTATGATTGAGCAAAGATCTCGAATCATCGACATTCAATCTAAATTCCATTGCAGTGAAGACATTTTTATTCCCATAATTTGATCGAGATACGTAGCTATATTAAATCGTTTTTTTTTCAGTGAAGATTCTCTAATTCATCAAATTTTAAAAAAAATATAAATAAATCTCAATGTCGTAGTTTGATAAATCGACCCAGTGTTGTGTCCTGGTGGATAAATAAAATATATCAAACTTTTGTTACAGCGACTGTGCCTGTTACTACGGCAACCAAAGCTACATCAGCGCCGTCAACTACCGCTAAAGTTCAGCAACAAACGACCAATACCGCTTCCGGTACATGCGCACCATTGCGTTGCGCACCTCCATGTGACAAAGGTGTAGTACTGGCGCCAAATGGATGTCCGATGTGTCTTTGTCAGCCGTAAACAACAATGTCAAGAGTTAATAAATAAATGTTGCTTCCGTAGTTTCGGTTTCTTTATTTTTCGGACATCGAGGTAAGGGCTGTATAAAAATCAGGTTTCCCCGGAAGTAGGGAATAACTCGATAAGAAATAAAATTCTGAATTCTGAAGTCTAAAAACATTGGAGTTTACTATTATTCTATTGTATGAGTATACTTACAATCATGAATGCAGCGGTTGTCACGACGTTTTCTATAATTTCTGATTGAAAATTAAAGTCTGGAGCAACAGTATACAGAATGTAATTTGCAAGTAGTGACCCAAACCGTTGTAAGTAGTGAAGTATATGAGGACGCAAATCCGGTTTAGCTTGGGTTTTATCGCTTAACAACCAATCATCAGCTATGGTGATTTAAGTTTCGTATCCCCATTGTATGCTAATTGAGCGCCTAATCCGAGTGCGTATGTTTGTTGGAGGCTCTGATATTTTTTCTGAAAGTCTCCGTTTAATAGTGTGAAACTGAAGCGACATTACAATGTTGCCAAGCTGAAATATACTGCGGAAGATCCCCAGCAGGACCCTCTTCCATGCGGCAACATTATACTGACAACGGAGGACACAACGCAAATCCTTCTTTACCGTGGCGAATGCTCAACTAAAGCCAAATCCGAAATAAGGCGTAACGCTCGTCTAGAGATATCTATATAACGTCATATGTATTTTCGCTTTACCTCCGAAATAAATAATCTATTTGATTATACAATTCATCCTGTCTATGAATGCTGCTTTTTTTTACTACATCTGTAAAAAGACCAGTTATATGCTTCGAGGTAGCCTGAAACCGGAAATTATAAGAATTTGACGTTTCTTAACCGTATTTTATTTTCACACGATATATACCACTAGCATTATTGATCATTAAGATGAGAATACAGCCGGTTGATGCTGACAAAACAAAACGTTAATGAGAAGATAACTTGAACTTGTGTCTTGTACAATACTTCGTCTATTCGAGAAATATATGCGTGTCGAGAAAATCACGTGTATGTTGCCTGCAGTTCCACTGTTATCAACTTCTCATGTGTTCTCATCTTAGGAAGTGACATTACTTACGTAGATTGACCAAGGTTTACATGGCGGGTATCTTCGATAGGACCAAAGACGCTTACCCGCCAGGAACGCCTGGTCTTTTTCTCAATGTACTCTTTCATGAGTCTTTCCTCTGTTCTTGTCGGAGTTATGTTTTAATTAAGATTTAGCTGATATATCGTTACTTACTTTATTGCCTTAGCATACAGTTCACGGTATTTCAGTTAATTGCATGTTCTGTCGAATAGTGCAAGGCACCTAATTATCATAACTTCAATTACATTCCATCTAGCTGTCAGCCAAAAAAAATTAGTCAATAGCCATATCTTTACAAACACTTTAAACCAATTCCATCTGATTGAATTTGCCATTACGTTAATGAAGATAAGTACAAGGAGTTCCTGGGCAGCTTCTCTACTGCCGGTAATGTTATCGACCGTGTCCAAACAGCGGCCAATATCCTCACTAGGCGTATCAGCTCGAGCAGCCGCTTTTCATATGAAAAGATTCTGATCGTGTTTGAGTCAAATCAAAACGGAAGATAATATGATTTAGTATGGATTTCACACGAGATCTACTTGTGACAGCACACGCGCCTTTGATCTTCTCGACCTAAAAACATTTCAAGGGGACGCTTTCAATGTATGACCAGTGGTTTGAAGTATGCAATATTGAAAAGATTTCCATTATTTTTAGTGTGAAACAACCGATAACATGTTAGGGTACACATTCTGGGCGTGTCTATACATTGAATACAGAGCAGCTTTGAGATTTACACTGACTCGAAATGTTTACTGATTATTGATGGCCCCAACATTCTGTAAAACATATTTTCGTGGTTCTTTTACCATGTTAAGCACCTATTTGTATGAAGATATCTTACGAATTCCTATAAGGCCCATCACTGACGAGTCCTAGAAGGACGTTACAGCTGTATGATTTAGCATCACTGTCGAGTCTGGGAGGGACTAAACAGCTGTATGATGTAGCATCACTGACAACTCTTAGGAGGACGAAACAGCTGTATGATGTAGCATCACTGACGACTCCTAGGAGGACGAAACAGCTGTATGATGTAGCATCATTGACGAGTCCTAGGAGGACGAAACAGCTGTATGATGTAGCATCATTGACGAGTCCTAGAAGGGCGTTACAGCTGTATGATTTAGCATCACTGTCGATTGAGGGATTAAACAGCTGTATGATGTAGCATCATTGACGAGTCCTAGAAGGACGTTACAGCTGTATGGTTTAGCATTACTGTCGAGTGTGGGAGGGAATAAACAGCTGTATGATGTAGCAACAGCTGTATGATGTAGCGTCACTGACGACTTCTAGGAGGACGAAACAGCTGTATGATGTAGCATCATTGACGAGTCCTAGAAGGGCGTTACAGCTGTATGATTTAGCATCACTGTCGAGTCTGGTATGGACTAAACAGCTGTATGATGTAACATCACTGACGAGTCTGATATGGACTAAACAGCTGTATGATGTAACATCACTGACGAGTCTGATATGGACTAAACAGCTGTATGATGTAGCATCGCTGTCGAGTCTGGTATGGACTAAACAGCTGTATGATGTAGCATCACTGACGAGTCCGTTATAGACGAAACAGCTGTATGATGTAGGCATCACTGTCGAGTCTGGTATGGACCAAACAGCTGTATGATGTAACATCACTGACGAGTCCGTTATAGACGAAACAGCTGTATGATTTAGCATCGCTGTCGAGTCTGGTATGGACTAAACAGCTGTATGATGTAGCATCACTGACGAGTCCGTTATAGACGAAACAGCTGTATGATTTAGCATCACTGTCGAGTCTGGTATAGACTAAACAGCTGTATGATGTAACATCACTGACGAGTACGTTATGGACTAAACAGCTGTATGATTTAGCATCACTGACGAGTCCGTTATAGACGAAACAGCTGTATGATGTAGCATCACTGTCGAGTCTGGTATGGACTAAACAGCTGTATGATGCAGTTTAATTAATAATTTCCCAGTATTGTATCTATTTCTTGAAAGAAAAAACAAGAAAATACCAACGTGTCAATGTGATCCTTATTGGTGTGTTTATTGTACACTCATCTAACAGGGGATATATATAAACACAGGCTAGAACTATTCCATGGTGTCCCCGTCCAAGGATTATCGTAAAGAACAAAACACACATCTGTCTTATATCGTATGATTGAAAAAAATCTAGAATTATCTGAACTCAGCATGACATCTGCTGGATTATATAATCTAAGTGAATGGAAAATAAAACACTTCCATTCTCTGAGGATAATTAATGTTTACTAGTCATGTCATGTACATTTATTTAGATTGGAGATTTACTTAATGACAACAGCGTTTATTATCGTCCGACTTAACTAGACACGTGTTTATATTGTACCTTCCAGGATAATTTACTATTCAAGAACATGTCTGCTAACAAATAATGACAAAAAAAAAAAAACTGCATACCTCGTTTCATTGGAAACACGTTTAGGACAAAGCATATAATAAATTAAATTACGAGGACATGCAACGCTGCAAGTGTGGATATCTCACGAAGGCGGATGACAGTAACTCCGATAAATTTCGTTGAAATTTTATCACTGATTTTAAAAAACGTGAAAAACATGAATAAATATGTCACATTGTTTTCTGAAGGAATTTCAAACTGCTGATACTACATAAAGATCATACAAGTTGTCCTTGCCATTTAAAACTTCCTTTAATGTTGAAGCTGAAAGATTGCGTTACGACATATATCCTTTTATCTATATTGACAACAATGTCTATGTAATTATGTTAAGTTAGTAAATGTTAAAAGGTATGTAAGGAAGCAAAATAGTGTCGAAGAGCTGTTTCGTTTCTCTGTGTGTAGTGTTTTGTGTAAATATACTATCAACGAAACCTGTTAAGTGTTGTCGGTATTTGTCGGTTTATGGAGTGTATTTTTTAGGTAGGATGTTAGTATCACGTTGGTATTGAAAAAAAAATATTGTGGGTAATAAAAGCACGTGAAATAGAAGCCGCCATGATTGTGTCTGTCTGATCTGTGATCAGGCCCCTGGAAACACAACACTAGAACTATTAAGCGATGCTAGAGCTCTGATATGTGTGGGAAGCCATAAAAAACTCAAAGTAACAAATAATACAACATTTGATAAAAAAAACTGTTTGAATCAATGCGATATCTCGGATACTGTATCAAAATTAATCAAATATTGCGGCGAAAAATCCATTACCATCACGGATCCACATCATCCCAATTAAAGCTCCCGCTTATAATCACACGATCGTAGATTGTTAACATTCCCGCACTGCATCGTGTCCGAGATACAACCGTAACATATCAGTGTAACAGAACACACTAAAGACGTATTTACGTCAACACGATATATAAGAGTTACACATCTAAGGTTACTTTTTAATTTGTCGGTTGATACATTTAGTCACTCCTGTATTCAATTTAGAAAATGAGAATTTATAATCTGTACTATCGAGTCAAGTAGTAAGCCGTTAATATATCACCGTGACTTCATAATTATATGATGAGAAAGCATTGTTTATTTAGTAAGCTGTGAATTTAGTACTGTGCCTACATACTTAGATTTGTTTGTCATTGATTTGGCGTTTAATAGTCGTGATTTCTCGGTCAGTTGTAACATTTATCTACACAGTATCAGGTAAGTATTTTAGATGCGAGGCAGTTTTGACAGTTTTATTTCAGAGGAAGCTGTGAAACCGACTAGTCTGTACTGTTGTTATTGTTTCCTCGGGCAAGAGACTTCAACCTAATTGCTCAGAATGTCATGCGACTGGCCTTCCGCAGGTTGTGCAAAAAGCTAGTCACCTGCTGCTAAATGTTTACATTGCATATATATTCCCATTGAGCATTTAAACAACGTCGTTCAGGACATAGCAGA